GACGTGTTTGAGAGAGGCGGGGCATAGAGGACCTACAATAATGTACAGTATTTGAAAAATAATGTGTTTTTTTGAACATTAAAGCATGTCAACATATTCTGTTACACCAAATACACAAAATAATGATCTTTAAAATAACATCATATGACCCCTTTAAGCAGCACATAAGCAGCTCCATATATATGGATTTTCTGACATAGTAAACTTGCTCGGTAGCTCACCTAGTACTGCACTGCATTTACCAGGTGGAGAGCTTGGGTACGAGTCACTTCGAACACGAGTCATGACACTCAACAAAAGAGCTCAAAGCCTCGAAGGGAGCTAAAGCAGCATGGTTGCTTTAGCAAATGCGTTTTTATTTTAATTTTTCAAGACACTGCTGTTTAATAAATCTGCATCTGCAATGGAGAAAAAAATGAAAGTGTTATAGTGGACGTGTCACCTGAATAATGTAGCAAAATGTACCTGAAACAACTTATTTCTAAGTTCTTTTGTAGAAATGTAGCCAGAGTCATATATTTCCAATGAGCCTGAGTTACGTAAACGCCATTGGCACATATCACTCTGCACAGGAAACAAAACATACTCGTTTCAGTAGTCTGATGTTAGCATGTTGCTAAGCTAACAAGGATAAGTGCAATGCTACCATAAAATTTGCACACAAAAAAAACAAGGAGGGGTGCTTGATGCATCTTGCCTGTTTTACACCATATTCCTGTGATGCTTTAAGATGGTGCCTATTTATGCAGCTCAGTGAGTTATGGAATAGAGCAATGCAGTCCGTTTCGAAAGAAGCTATCTAATCGGTCAGACTTGTTGTTTGACAGAAAGGTGTTAAAAATATTCTGAATTCTTTTCTCTCTGATTTTCCCCAGCATGTCCTCTCATGCTCTGCCTTATATTGCTTTATCCTTCTGTTTCATTCTCTTTTCTTCACTTTCTGTCCCTGCTCTCCCATTGGCTGGTAGCACACAGTAGGCAAAGTGTCTCTGATAGTGGGCGCTAGAGCTGACAGTCTGGTTACCCTCTATGAAAATGATCATAGGCCCCAGGCAAACAACTCAGACCCTCCGGTAAGCCACAGATCAACTGTTTAGTTATTTTTAATCTAAAAACAATTATGAATTAAATTAGGAATTTTATGAGCTCATCCTGTGCAGTTAAGCTCATGTTAACATGTACAGTTTTGTCATCATTTACTCACCTTAATGATGTTACAAACTTGTATGACTTTCTTACTTCCCTGGAATACAGGAGATGATTTCCATACATTAAAAGCAAATGTGAACTGGGACTATCAAGCTCCAAAAATGTTACCATGGTTACTCTTCTAAATTGAGTAAATTAGATAAAATCTCTCATAGAGGTTTACATACTGTACAGCAATGTAAATACTGTATACTGCCTACTGCTTTCCAAAAATGGTATGTGAATAAATATGAAAAATGCAGCACCATTTCAAATGTCACATAACCTGCATTTTGCATGTTGAAGTCATTATGTGGCGTCCATATTATTAACTCAAAAATAAATATGGTTATTTTGCACTTTTAATGCAATTTTAAAACATTGAATCAAATAATGAGTCAGAAAAGATGTTTCATGTCTGAAATGACTTTTGGCTCGTTCATCACTATGAGCCAAACTGAAAAGTCAAATCATGCACAGTGAGTGCATTGTGGGATACAGTACCCAGCACTGTTTGAAGATATACTGTATATTTTTGGCCATTGCAGTAGGTCATCCAGGTACTGTATACTGCAAAACTAGAAGTATTTCATCACATTAGGATTCTCAGTGTAATGTTTTAGATATGATATTTTCCATGACAGCTCAGTCAGTGTGGATGTTATTCTCAGGGTTATTTTAAACATGTTTTAATCAACACAATCTTAAATGGTTTTTGTTTCTTTGTTTCTTTCTTTTTTTCCCCCTAGCCTTCCTTAAAAAGAGAATTTCAGAGTCTGGGAGATGTGTGCCATGCGTGTAAGAAACGGGTGTTTGTAGTGGAGAGGCTCAGCGCGGAGGGATTCCGCTTCCACAGGGAATGTTTCCGCTGTCATATCTGCAGAGCTCCGCTGAGCCAGGGAGGACATTCCTTCGATTCAGAGGAAGGTACTGTGAAGGACCTGTACTGCATTCTCACTGTTTCTCATGAAATGATTAGTTAACCCTAAAATGAGTATTAAATCATCATTTACTCACCCTCATGTTGCATAAAACCTGTATGGTTTAATTTTCATCTGTGGAATACAAAAGATTTTTAGCGGAATGTCCAGGCTGCCTTTTACTATACAAATAGGGCTGGGTAAAAAATATCGATATCTCGATATTAATCGATTCTCATTTTTACGGAACGATATAGATTCTTAAATCCCAAGAATCGATTAGTTTAGCCTGTTTTCAGTTAATGGACGGAACATTGAAGGGCACTTCCCATCCAATATATGTCAATAATTCAAATTCTGTCCATTGTATTTCAGTATTCAAAAAATAAATGCCGTTTTGGCGCTGTTTAATGTGGAGTGACAGATCGCTGTAGCGCGCCACAGTTCAACAGACGCGGCAGCGCGAGGCGCACGTGAACTGATCATCTCCTCCACATTAATACCAGTTTCAGCACAAAATAAACATGACTAAACATCCGAAGGTAAGATAAAAGAAAGAGTATAACTTTACAAGCCGTATCCTGTCTCATATAATCGCTCAATCTGTGTTTCAGCCGCGCAAAGACGTCAATATAACGGCTTGTAAACAATGTCACGTAATGCCACATTTACCTCAGAAAAAACATATTGGTGACCATAAACTCATTAGTCAGATAGAAAAATAAACTGTAGAGAGGGGCATTT